CAAACACACACTAAAGCTTCTCTCTTCTCTCTCACTTTCTCTCTCTAGAACACCTTGGAGCTCTCCTCTCTATATTCTCTCACACCTTAGAATACACACACTTAAGCTCCTCTTTAGCCTCTTACTCACACATGCACTCCTCACCCTATATACAGTAGACATGGGCCGTGAATGGGTTTAGGGTCGTAAACCTGTTCACGGCCGTAAACACAGCCGTAAACTCATATACGGCCGCAAACACCAAGTTGTTTACGGTCCTAGACATAAAAATATATTTTCCTAGAAAAGTAAAGTATAAACCATAATTTAGACCCAACATAAAGAAAGAGGACACACACATTTTTGCGTGTCACAAAGTTAGATGTTTTAAAAGTTATATATTTTGATAGATTTATTAGTTTTCAAATTAAATAACATATTAAAAATCTCATAATACAAAATAAAATACCATAAATAACAAAGATAATTCATTTCACTAATATGTCAAATACAAATAATTATTCCAATAGTGAGTAAATGTTATAAAAAATGAACTCAAGAGAAGCAGAATTTATATACAATTGCATTATCTAGCTTACTATGTGCCAACAACTCTGTGTGTGTTTGCTTTTGCTTGAGTCTCGTTTCCTCCAAAGCTTCTAGCCATGCCAAAGTATGATATCTTAGGGTTCATGTCCAAATCAAGTAAAACATTGCTAGCTTAAATTCATCAAGTCCTTGGCATGAAGTCTTAGATAGAAGCTTAACTGCAATCTCCAATCCACCCCACCCATGCAAACCTGTAAACAGCCGAGTTCACCACCAACGGGTACCCAAATACCGGAAATACCTGAGCTGAATTGATAGAGTCTCGATGAAACTGACATACTTTTCCTAAACCAGAAACCGCATTATCGTATGCCATTATATTATCAGGCTGGAGGGCATTTGGGTGTCTTATTACAAAGTTTAGCCTTGAAAGAACCTCTGAAAAAGTCAATAAAAAAGTCAACAAGTCAATAAAAAGTCAATATAGAATGGAAAGAGAGAGGATTTGCAAG